GAACTATTTGCTCAGGCTGGCCCTTAACCACTATTCTCCTGATCTCTGCCTCCTAAGTAGTTAGGATTATAGGCAAAAGCTACCAGTATCCAGCTAAATTTAAAATTTATATAAATTTCATGTGTCATTCAATCTTCCTTTGAGTTTTTCTTTCAACTACTCAGCAATGTATAAACCATTCTCAACTAGGCCACAAGCAGGATTTGACCCACAAGCTGCAGTCTGATTAGAGTATTTATGGTGCCTCAATGAGAGAAAGAATCCTTGTGTAGGGGATGCCTGTCTAAGTCTCCAGGGGCTCCTCCCAAGGGTTAGTGCAGATCTTACAGGCAGGAAGTATACACTGTCACTGCAGCACTGATGCTCACTACAGAGGTGTGTCTCAAGTGGGGGCAACCTGTAGCCAAACCACATGAGTACTCTATAAGTATGCATTCATGTTCATAATGCTCCTAGAGGATTCTGAGGCAGGGAACCTAGAGCTCACTGATCCCTGAAAGGCATGGTTTAGATTTCTACTTGACATGTGAATAGATTGCAAGCACTGCCATCTGCAGACCTGAAGAACTCTTACACATGCATGGCGGGGGTCAGAAACGGCAGCCCTCCCCCTAAACCTGCCTCAAAACAAAGGCATAACACACTTAAGGGCCTCATTTTATAGGACGCAAAATGAAACTCAAGCAAGCACAAAAAAAAAAGAAAGAAAAAAGAAATGCTACAATATCTATAATACACTTCAACACAATTCAGGGATGGGGAAGAGATGAAGCAAGATTGCCATGACTCATTAGTCACTGAAGCTTTGTGATGGCTACAAGGAGGCTCATTAAAATATTTTCTCTACTTTTCTATGTTTCAAATTGTCCCTAGGAAAACAATGGAGGACTGGCCAAGTGGCTCAAGTTGTAAGAGTGCCTGCCTAGCAACCTTGAGGCTCTGGGTTCAAACCTCAGTACTGCCAAAAAGAAGAAAGAAAAAGAAAAGATGGGAGGGCACAAACAAGATATCATAGGGAAAAATAGACTTTTAGGCTGAGAATTTATGTCTCTATGCATAATCTTTAACAGTACTTCACATAAACACCTCCTCCTAGGAAAGAAAAGGGACAGTACTGTCGCATTGACTCAGTCTGGTGTTGAGGCTACACCCACCCTAACCTAGGATATCTTTTAAAAAAAAAAAAAAAAGAAAAAAAAAAACCCACAGCTAGCTACCTGTAGTACCCACTGACCTCTTTTCCATCTTGTCCCAGGCTTAGCTATATCCCTGTTATTTTGACAGGGAAATCAGTTGTCATCAAGTGTGGCTATCACCCTGGGTTGCCATGCCCCCCCCTCCCCTTGCCTAAATATGAGAGATAAGAGAGGTAGTGTCCTGTCTTCACCCTTTCTAGAAAGTGTAAATGGAGCACTAAACTCTGGGCAGAGCAACAAGAAGTGCTGAAAGACAGCCTCTGGCTTTTCCTAGGGTCATCAAATTAGAGTGCGCCCACAACCTCCACACAGAGTGTAAGTATCTTCTTTTCATAAAGTAACAATACAATGGAAAATCAGCCACTTGAACCATTCACCCTGTGGTGACTCGGTTCAATCTTCCTAGTAGCTCAATTCATCCTTTTTTTGAGCAAATTTTTACTGAGCACAACATAGTGCAGAAGTTCAATATGCTTCATCAACAATGTCCCTGTCCTCAATGAATGCATACCATAAAGAAGAAACCATCACATATTTTCAAATGGTGACAGAAAGGAAGCAGGAAAAGTTCAGGGTCCTCTGATATACAAGTGAACTTAAGTTAGGGACAGCTTCCCAAAGAAAATGTAATTTTTCTAATTCCATTATCGATATCCACAATGATTCATACAGTTTTTCTTTTAGTTTGCTGTGAAATTAAGACATTTATAATTTTCATCCTTTAAGTCTTCCCATTTGTTCAGATACTAATAGGAAATCCTTAGTCACTTATTCAGACCCATTAATTCCATCTAAAACTTAAGTTTTGTTAAATTTCACAAATGAAGAATTTATGAAGTTCATGAAAGTACAGTTTCATAAATCACCTTAAGAAAACAGTAATGTCTTTTGAGCTCAAAAGCCAAATTTGAGTTAAAAAAGTCAAAATGTACTGCCAATCTTTTTCCAATAAAATCAACTGTGCTACCAACTAATATTGTAACTTACAGAAAAAGGCAATAAAAATGAGAATGCAGATGAATAGGCTAATCTCTGAAAGATAACTGAAATTTTCTCCTAACATCTGCCAACTTTTGTTAAAAGGAGGAAGGATGACATATTAGCTAAACCACAAGTAATGGCACTTCCACCTGAATCGATACTTCCAAACTTCTTCCACAGCATTAATTTTTGGACAGTTTTTCCATGAAGAAACTGTCCAAAGTAAGCTGAAGAGGAAGGGGGTGGGGAAGAGCCTAACTTTGCAGCTTGAACTCCAGTATTGAAAACCCAAGAGAAGGTGTGGACATGTGCCCTAGAGGGTAGACATAGATATTATTTTACATACAGTTTCAGGAGAACTATGACCTCTGGAAGCCTATTCAAGAATACTAGGTTGAAAACTCCTGCTCTAGATAAAGACCAAATTAGGATGTCAGGTCTAAGATTATCAGTAGTTGTGAAAGAGTGGAAAAGAATTAGTGTATACCAAGTTATTTTATGTATGTTATCTAATTTATTTTCAACCACTACAATAACCCTGAAAAATATGTATTATTATCTCGTTTTCCAAATAGGGGAAGCTATATTCAGGGAGCTAAAATTACGCAAGGTTAAGCAACTTTTAACTCACACCCAGGTTGTCTAACACTTAGAACCTTGATCAGAAACTGCTGAATTCCAGGAGTCAGGTGCATATTCCTAGAGCTCTTCCAAGATGGAGAATGTCTGACTTTCGGTGCTTCACTCACACGATCAATTTACCTACATATTTCTTTTCAACTTAATCGCTTTGACAAGAGGAATTAGTACAGTTTTAATCCAAAATATCTTTTTGTTTTTTTAGCAGGAGACAATCTTAACCAATGACAACAGATTATAGTCCAATAAATGTAGGACTATTAGGTTAAAGGTTTGTTAAGAGACCAGACAGGTCTATTTCATAAGTTCTCAACCTTGTTTTTTTAAACTGTACCAGAAAATCCACAAAGTCACAAACAAATGAAGAGACTGAATTTAAAACTTCAGACTCTACTCAAAACAGAGCAGGCAAGCATGAGTTGCAGTCAGCCTGGCTGCCACAGAATCCTCTACATGGTGGGAACAACTTTAAAAAAAAAAAAAAAATCCAGCCTCTAACAAACAGCAATAATTTGATAGTACAGAAGCATATGCAACCCTTTTGTAGCTCAAGCAAGTAGTTAAGAGTCTTAGATCTTCTGCGAAATCTGCTGATGAATGCATTCCCAACAGAAAATAGTAAATACAGCAAAAAACAAAAACAAAAATGGGTCCAAATGACTAATTTTAGTTGTGTCTAAGTCCAGATCAAGGCACTCGGTGAAATACTAAGACACTTAATCATCCTCTATAGGGGAATTACCAATAATTAGTATGCTGTTTTCATACAGATTTAGAAACTCTATGGGAAATGTATCCACATCCAGAGAATAAAAACTAAGAACACACGAATGGTCACCTAAAACTCTACTCCAACTGCTTCCTGAGAGTTGCCACCTAGTGATTTTAATTTTTACATCTAGGCGGGCTGCCAATTCAACACTAAAACCGGACTAACAACTGATTTTTCCTATTGCAACATCACCAACAGGTCCTGTGCTTTCCCTCTCTTTTCTTTGCCCTCAACAGCAATTCTCATTTTGAAAATCAACTAATTTGCTCTATAATCTTTTCTAACACAATGGCTCATAAAACTGTTATCAGTGGTACTCTACCTCAGAGTGTCAACAGGCCAAATGACCAATTGAAAAAAAAATATCCCAAAGGCAAAATGGCAGAAAAGGCAGGTGCAAAAAACCAGAAGTAATGTGGAGACAGTAACAACAAGCTATCTCTGGACTTACAAAATCCAGCTGCTCAAGCTCTATCTATTCCTGGGCCCAGGACAAAAAACTAAGCCAAAATAAATTGCTACAAGTGAGAAATCAAATTGCAGTGGAGATGTAAACTCAGTATTTTGGATCCAAAGCCTCACTTAAGGCCTTATCTTTTCTCATCATAGTGTGCCCAGGCCTGGTGCAGGCATTAAGAAGCAAAAACTGATCATTGAAAGAAAAAAATGCAAATCCCAAGGACAAGTATGACAGTTTCTAGATACCTGACCTGACCTTCATTGGAGGCACACCTTTAGCTACACACATTTCCCTAGAGTATCCTTCTCCAGCACAGTTTAAAACTAACCAACAGACTATGATTTCACTACCTATGGGCAGTATAGGCTTGTTTCACCATATGAAATTCTGTAACACACCCCCTTCCCCATCTGGCTTGCACAAAAAAATCTGACCAAATGCACTCAACTGTACTGATCCTTTGATAGCATTCTAAACTTGTACCTTAAATTCCACACAAATAACATTTCGTAGGTAAGATACCATCTTACCGAGTTCAATATTCATTCTAACTGCCAGAAGAAAATTTGGGGTGGCAAGGTTTCCTTTCCATCCCCCAGTCCTCCAAGCATTCATGGAAGTATTTTCTAAACCTGAGAATTCCTTCCTCCACTGGTGTTCTCCAGAAGGAGGTCAGACCTGATGGGATGTAGGTTAAACTCCAGGCGGGTTCCCAGCGTTCATCACCTAGCACTGCTGCTCACACCGCACCCTGCCAGGTTCACACTGAAGGGTTCCATATACTTCCCCATTCCGCAAGCCCCCAGAAGCCAGATTTCCAAAAGCCCTGCCCTCCCTCTCCCTCCTCCTCAGGAGGAAAGCATCCTCCATGGGGGAAGCCAGTAAAGTAGTGAAGCAGCACGGAAACTTCCCCAGGGTTTGCACAAACTCCCTCAAGAGGGGCTGGACTCACCTTCCCGACAGAGCCCCATGACTTCGCGGTTTTTCCCAAACTCCTTGAAACTTTCGTCCAATTCCGTCCCTAGGAGATACACACACACACACACAGGAGGAGGAGAGGCAGGTCAGTGGCCAGGAATGTGACGTACGCTCACGCACGCACGGGGTAGGTGTGGGCACCTCTGCGTTCCGCAACCCAGCGGACGATAGCATCTCTGACCCCCGAGGGGGCGGGTCACAGGACAGGGCGATGGGACGGGGGAGGGGGGAGGGAAGTGGGGGCGTGGGGAAGAGGAAGGCGGGGACACTCACCGTCCTTCCCAGGAAGTTTGGAAGCCTCGACCCACAGATTCCACGACTGTCCCAGCATCGCTTCGGGACTCGGCAGGGGCCTGCGCTCCCCCACCGTCGCCATTGCGGCGGCCGAGGTGGAGGCGGCCCCGGAGCCGCCGTCCTCCGGCCGTAGGCGCCGCGGCGGCGGCTGCTGCCGCTGGGGCTGCGAAGGCTGCTGCTGTTGCTGCCGAGCGGCCGCTGCTCCGCCCGCCGCCGCCGCCGCGCGGCGCGGCTCCCCCCTGACGTCATCTGCGGCCCGCTCCGACATTCTTTCCGCTCCTACAATGTAACAAAAAAGGGGGAAACAGAGTCGCGCGGGGGCTGCTTTTAAGGAGGCGCCGGGTAGTTCCGGCGGCATGCGCGGGCCGCAGGCCGGGTGGGGCGCGCTGACAGCGCCCTCAGGCCTCCCAGCCCCCCCACCCCCACCCCAGCCCGCCTCCTCCCGAGCCAGCCCCAGCTCCGGGCGCAAAGTCCGCGGCGCCGGCTAGCTTTCGCTTTCGTCTCCCGGGCCCCACGGAGAAGAGGACCGGCCACCGCCGCGCTGGGTCTCTTGCTTGCCTCCGCCGGGAGGACCCGGCGCAGAGGCCGGCTCCTGGAGCAGCCCTCGCCCCAGCCCCGCGCCCCACCACGGCAGCCAGCGGCGGGGAGACCCAAGCCGCACCCTTGCTTTCTGGCTGCCCACCCTGCGGCCGCTCGCATCCCCGGGCCGGGCCCGGCGGCCCCGCTCCTTCCTTCCGTCCGCGCGTCCGTCCGAGCGGCGGCGCCGGGCCGGCTCCCTTAAGCTGAGGCGCCTCCCGTCGCCTCCTCCCCCTCGCCGGTCCCTCCCTCTCAGCTCGCTCCGGCGAAGTTTGCACGTCAAGCCCCCGGAGTGGAGCCAGGGCGAAGTCGGAAACGCAGTCACCTATGGAGGAGCCGGCCGGCCGGCCCCGGTGCATCAACGCGTGCCGTCGCAGGGCCCTCCCTCTGGGGCTTGGAGCCCGGGGGTAGAGAAGCTTGGGCACTAAGGCACTTGGCTTGCGGGCTGCCGCACAGTTGTCAAAAAGCATGAATGGGAAGCCGCCACAGAGCGGACACCCAGCAAGTAGGGAACCACCGGCAGGTGTGAAAATGCCGCCAGGTGCCGGCCCAGGTGTCAGCCTCAAGCCCCGCGCGCGCGCGCGCGAGGCCGCCCACGTGTGCCTCAAATGTCCACAACTGGAGGTCACAGCAAAAATGGGGATCACGAAAGCAGAGTAAGAGGGAGGAGATGCGAGAGAGGCGGTCTTTAATCCGTTTTCATGTTTTGGAGACACTTCCCAAAATTTCGGTATTTCCCCTTCTGTTGCTCCTGGAAATGATTCATTCGCATCCAAAATAAGAATCTTGCCATTTAGAAATCTGATTCACTTTGAACTTGACATGTTATGGTTGTCTTTTCTGGAGTAGGGTGAGAACCCAGAGCTTAGGAGAATGTATAGAATTCCCAGAAAACGTGAGTTTTTTGTTTTGTTTTTTAAGATACTGATTTTGGTCCGATTTTATTCACTAAATTAGGCATTGACCCATAAAATTTACCATGCTTCACCAATATGCACATACGCATAACATTAATGATAGGTTTGAAAAATGGTAAAATAAAAGGCAACTTAATGAACTAAAGCACTCAAGATACTTGCAACAGTAGCAGACCACATCAAGCACGTTCCGTGTTTGTATTATTACTGTTACCTCAAAGTGATGTGAACATGTGAAGCTTTGTACAAAAACTGTGATTCTGATCATTCATGTTTCACACTGTAGTATCATCAGCACCCTTGTAACCTCTTCAGAGCCACTTGCCTACAGGCATTTCTCTAAGTAGGAAGGATGTAGGCTTACTCTTTTTTTTTTTTTTTTAATTTCAAATGTCTGGGGTGAGAGGTAGTCAAATTCTTTGTTCAAGAAACAAGGTCCAAGTTGCAGAAATATAAAATTTTAGTAAGTAAAAATAAATTCAAAAAGTTTTGGTTTAGGTTCAAAATGTAAAAGTTTGATTGGGCATGTTGGCATGCAGCCAGCTACTGCAGAGGCTGAAACAGGAAGATCTCTTGAGCCCACAAGGTTGAGGGCAGCCTGAGCAACACACCAAGATTCTGTCCCAATCAATTAAATAAAAGCCCACAAACAAAAAGCTATTTTAAAGCATACACACAGAGAAAGATACAAGCATAAATGGCATGACTTTTTTGTTTGTTGGTTTAGTTTCCTGGATTGCATACAAACAAGTCCAAAAAGTGAAACCAGTCCTTATCAAAATACAGGTGACCCTCTGCATCCTCAGATCCAACCAACCATGGGTTGTAAATGTATTTTCTAAAAAGCTGTCCATCTACTGAACATGTACAGATTTTTTTTTAGTTTGTTATTATTCCCTAAATATAGTATAATATGTATTTTCATAGCATTTACACTGTATCAGGCATTATAGTAATCTAGAGATGATTTAAGGAGTACAGGAGGATATCTGCAGGCTATGATATGCAAATACTAGGTCATTTTATAGAAGGGACTTGAACAGCTACAAATTTTAGTATCTGTGGGAGTCCAGGAACCAATTCCTTTGGGATACCAAGGGATGAATGAAAGGATCTAAAATCTAAAAAATCATCTCTACAGTTTTAACTTCCTACACAAGAATGTCAATGAGAAAAACAGTAGTTAAAACATATATTCCCTTGGCAACAATATGGTTCCTAACGCTGAACTTAACATAACCCGCATGTCCACAGCACAAACTTTCAATTCTTCACTCATTGTGAATCACGGAAACGTTTGTCATTCCTAGTGACATGAAAACAGCCAACCTCTGTTTCCCTAGATTCAAGTACTTAATTCATTAATTACTTTGAGTTTTGTAATTCTACATTTAAATAAATGAAAATCAGAATTTTAATGGCACTTGCAACTGCTATTGAAAAGGTTAGGGCAGCAGCCATTTAGATTCTAAAGAGAGCTTGCTGGTTGAGCACACCTCTTCTGATTCCTGAAAGTAAAACACAGAGAATAAAAATAATGAAAAGGGCAAATGTGAAGTGTGGTCTTGCTTCAAGACATTGCCCGATTTCTCTTCTTTCACGTGTAAAATATTTCACAATTCACTAATGGGAATTAGTGTAGCAACTTACAATCCTTTAAACTTCTGTCCTAATTCCTGCTGATACCAATTTTGTTGCCTTCAAAAGTTTTTGATTGGTAGTATAAAGAAAACAGAAAAGAGCTCAAGATAAAAAAAAAATTAAGTATTCTCATAGCTAAGGGAGATTATTAATAACTGAGTATCTATGAGAAGTCAGGTATGTTCCATAGGTACCTTGCAGTATTATCTTAATACTCACAGTGTACAAGGCATTAGTTGTATAATTTATAGTGAACAGATAAGGAAAATGAGGTAGGATTTAGAGCCAATATTGTCATTACTGGATTCAGATACTAGTTCTTCCACTAATGAAAGTTACCTAAACTTGCCAGTATCTCAGTTTCTTTATCTGTAAAATGGAGATAAGGCCAGGTTTCCAAGGATTACAGGAAAAGATCCTTTGAAAGCACTTGGTGCAAAGCTTAACACAAATGTCTTATGTAACACTGATCAGTTCAGTTCAATCCTTACCCAGAAAATTGACTACCAAATTGGAAAGGATGTGGAGACAAGAGAATGACAAGCAATTCCTGGCATCTCCCCACCCAATTCTGTTTTGCTACAGACACTGCATTTTACTACATTCTTTCATACACATCAAAAAGCCCCACTCCTTCTAGCAAAGGCTGATTCTGATATCCATAGTTTGGGATTTCCTAATAACTGGAAGGAATCACCAACAAAAGTCAAAACTGCAAGCTGAGAAAGTGCATCTGATATTCAAATTTCGACATTTTAGAAGTGTTCTTTATAAAAAGAACACCATTTATAAACTAGAGTACAACAGAAACTCAAATCTTTAATTTTCCTACAAGCCATAATAAAGACTTGATGACCATGTTCATAAATAATCCACTCTTCATACCCTAAAACAAGAAAAGAAAGTAACTCATACACTTTATACTTTTTTTTGCACTGGAGGTTTGATTCAAGTGGTAGAACACCTGCTTTGCAAGCTTGAAGCCCTGAGTTCAAGCCCTGGTTCCATTAAAATAAAAAAATCCAATTTATATTCATTTCATATAAGTTATTGTAATATGGCAGAATGCCTTGCATGGTATTAGTCAGTACTTCTGCCAGTGTACTTCTGATGATGTCTTACAACTCAGAACTTTAGTTCTGTCTACACCTTTAAATGATATGTAGTTTATAAGGTTTAATAATGGGTCCAATTTATCATGCAGTTCCTGGTTGCCTACCATGTATCAGGCACTTTACTAAGTACCAGGGTGAACACAAAAGTAACTTCACTGAGGACATGAGAAAACTAAGTAGGAAAAAATTTTAATTTGTGAAAATGTTTGTTAAAACATTTGTTAAAAGCTATCACCACCAATTAGACTGCACGTGGCTTAAGAACTAGGCTGTCAGAGGTGAATTGCTGCCAAATTCTGAGCATTTCATCCCTTCCAAGGATGTATTTAAATACGGTCTTACTTCACCATCCAAGTTTAGGGATGTTCCTGGTAGGTGCTAAGGGTAACAAGGTCTTGCTTTACCAAAAAGGTTCTTTGCATAGCAGATTCACTTGTAAAATGCTTTAAGGCCAACGGCATCATAAAGTGCAATTAAAAAGAAGTTGATCTTTCCAATCTTTAAATCCAGTTCAATGTAAAAAGGCTGAAACTGCTCAAAACTTTTCTAAGATTTAAGATCCCATACAAGTCTCTTTATTTGGGGAAAACCACCAGTCCCAATACAACATTTCAGTGAACTTGGAAACCAATAACTACAGTATATTTATCTGTGTAAATTACAGGGTTGGTAACAGAGAGTCTCCATTATCAACCCCAAAGTATTGAAGCCATTTGAGAAACAAAAAACTCAGATTCACTGAATTAGGAATGTGTTGGCTTTGGTTTCTTTATATCCTTCTAAAATTGGCAGAGCCTTTGTTCATATATTCTCTCTAAGCTACTCTGACTACACCTCTCCCTTTCCTCCTTTCTTTTCCAGGGAGAGCAAAGGCTCTATTCTGCATAAGGGGTATTACAAGCAGGACTTTCCTTAACTGTGCTCCCTCTACTGAAATACATTACAGCCTATAATGTAAATACATCAGTATTCCAGTAGAGGGAGAGCAGTGGAAGGAAAAAATAGAATTCATCACCTCAGACGCTGGAATTGCTGACAATCAAGTGCAAAATTAGAAATAATAAAGGCAGGTGCAACAGTGGGACTTAAAGATGAGGCTGTACACATAATCATTCTACAGGATGCATTATTTGCTAAACAGTTAAAAACCTTGAATTTTTGGTTTGTTTTCTTAACCATATGAATGTAGCAGTGTATCAATTATATCAAAGAAACATAATAGTAAACTGCTTGAAAAGAAAGATTTAAAAATACACATATAAAGGTAATAAATTATGACACAAAAGGTAATCAATTATAAAATGTAACCAATAATTTAAATATTAAATCCCCCAAATGTTTCTAGGGATTTAATAATGACCTGTAGTTTTATGGTAAACTTGATTGGAGATTGTGATTTAAAATCTTTAGGTTATAAAAAAATAAAGAGAAGAGTTTAAATTATAAAAAAACAAATGGAGACATTGGACCAACATTCAGCTGTAAAAGGAAGCCAACTATATGGGGTTTTAGAACAGTGATTCCACTGCAATAAAATGCAAAGATTAAACACATCATTAAAAATAATTTCCTATGTCACCTTTGAGCTGACAAAACTTTCATAGAACTGACTGTAAATATCACCCTCTTAAAGGCCCAGCAGTTCAAGATCATGGGTTCAAGTACCATTTCCCAGCTGAATTCCACTTTTACTACTTAGTAGCTGTATCACTCTGGGGAATCACTTATTTTGTGTCTGTTTCTTCGTGGATAAAATGAGTAAAACAAGAAAGAATTACCTGCTTTATGAGGAATATTAAGAATTAACAGTGCCAAAGTGAGCGTGTCAGCTATTATTATCAGCATTGTGTCTGCCATGTATAAGTCCCAGGTTTATTTTATCCACAATACATTATATAGTCTTGCTACAGGGCTTTAACCTGCAGAGACCACTGAAATAAAAAACTCTCCCCTAGGATTCAAGGCCTTCCAGTCTGCTCCTGACTCAGCTCTACCTCTTCTGTGTGTTTAATTCCTTCCTGCAAATACTATATGGCCCAACCCAAATAACCAATCCATAGCTTCCAATGTGCTCCCCTTCTAGCTCCCAAGCCTTTCCTCATTCACGTCACTCCATCTGTAATATGGTCCCTCCCTTAGCTGAAATCCTACTATCCAATTAAATCCCTCTTTAACTTCCATTTAACAAAACCTTTCCTGATCCCTCCCATTAAACATGGGGAAACTCATTCCCTCTACTACTAAGTCATAGAAATTCAAATTCATGTTGCGGTCAAGAAATCAGGGTAGCAATGAGACATACACTTATGTCTTCCAGGGATGAAAAGTTTGCATTCCCTACATAAAAGAATCATTTGGAACCTGGAATTCACTTCCCCAAAACCATAATATATTTTTATGAACACATCCCTAGGCTGGACAGCAAATGCCTACAGCTGAACTCTAGAACAGACAGTACAGATGTGTTAATACAAAACAGAAGGAACAACAAAGGCATTTCTTTAACAAAGTGGTAGTCCAAAGCCAAGTCAAAGATACAGAAAACATGGCAGCCTCACTTTCCACATTCTTTCTTCGCGTTTCGATCCTCTAACCTATCTGCGTTTGTACTGCTTCTCAGAGGACATATGGCTCTGCCAAAACCTGCATTCCCTTTCCCCCCAAGTGCAGCTCTCCTCTCTTAGTAGAGGGAAAAGAACTACACATTTACCTCTCATTCACTAACCTGTTTTTGAAAGATTAAGCATGAATGTGGTTCCCTCTCCACTTAGATGACTTTCTAGATGTACAGATCCCTAAATTTTTCTTCCGAGAAACACAAAATGAATGCATTCCTGTGGCCATTCGAATTTTAAATGGCATCAACAATGGCACACAGCAAAGTTTTTGACCCTTTTATTTTATAACTCTCATATTCTCTTTTTAAAAAATGTTTTATTGGTTTGTAATAGTTGTACAGGAGGTTCTGTTGTGACATTTCCATATATGCATATAATGTAACCCAGTTTGGTTCATCCCCTCCCCATTATTCTCTCTTCCCCCTCCCCCTTCCTAAAATGACTCTGAAAGTTTTCAAAGTTCGAATTTCATGCATGTATAGAAAATACACTGCAGAAATCCACCCTTCTTTACCATCCCCCTCCCACTAGTGTCTTCCTCTTAACATGACTTATTCTACACTCCTGTCATTCACTGCTTAAGCCTCTGTTCACTGCTCAGTGTGGTTTTCATTTCCTTTCTTCCTCGTTCCTTCCTTCATTCCTTGCTTTCTTTCTTTAATTCATTTATTCACATGTGCATACCTTGTTTGGGTCATTTCTCCCCCCACCCCCCTCACTTCCAGGCAGAACCTGTTCTGCCCTTATCTCTAATTTTGTTGAAGACAAAACATAAGCATAATAAGAAAAACAAAGCATTTTTGTTAGTTAAGGGTAGCTATACAGGGAGATGCCTACCATTGCTTCCATATGCAAATGTGTCACAACGCAAGTTGATTCATCTCTAACTGATCTTTACACTGGTTCCTGATCCCCTTCTCATATTGACCTCTGTCGCTTTAAGGTTTCTGTATTAGTTCCTCTGGAGTGGGGGACATCAAATGCTTTCATGTTTTGGGTTTTCTACCTATCCCCATACCTCCCGTATGTGCTCTCCCCTTGTCATGTGAACCAAATCCAACAATAGTGCTGTATTTGCTTTAGATCTAAAGTCCGCATATGAGAGAGAACATACAATTTTTGGTCTTCTGAGCCTGGCTAACCTTGCTCAGAATGATGCTCTCTAGTTCTACCCATTTACTTGAGAATGGTAAGATTTCATTCTTCTTCATGGCTACTTGTGAATGATAAGATTTCATTCTTCTTGATGGCTGAATAAAATTCCATTGTATATAAATACCACATTATCTGTTTGTCAGTAGTGGGTCATCTTGGTTGTTTCCATAACTTGGCCATTGTGAATAGCACTGCAATAAACATGGGTGTGCAAGTGCCTCTGGAGTAGCCAGTGTTACATTCCTTTGGGTATATCTCCAGGGGAGGGAATGCTGGATCATATGGCAGATCTATTTTTAGATTTTTAAGAAGCCTCCAAATTTTTTTCCAGACTGGTTGCACTAGCTTGCATTTCAACCAACAGTGTAAGAGGGCTCCTTTTTCCTCACATCCTCGCCAACACCTGTTGTTGGTGGTGTTTTTGAGGATGGCTATCATAACAGGGATAAGGTGGAATCTTAGTGTGGTTTTGATTTGCATTTCCTTTATGGCTAGAGGTGGTGAGCATTTTTTTATTTTTGTAAGAAATGCTTTATTTATTTTTTATTCATATGTGCATACAATGCTTGGGTCATTTCTTCCCGTATCCCCCACTTCGTCCCATACCTCCCTCTGCCCCCTCCCTCTCCCCCCACCCACTTGATACCCGGCAGAAACTATTTTGCCCTTATCTCTAATTTTGTTGAAGAGAAAATATAAGCAATAATAGGAAGGACCAAAGGTTTTTGCTAACTGAGATAAGGATAGCTATACAGGGAGTTGACTCACATTGATTTCCTGTGCATGTGTGTAATCTTCCAGGTTAATTCTTCTTGATCTAACCTTTTCTCTAGTTCCTGGTCCACTTCTCATATTGGCCTCAGTTGCATTAAAGTATCTCCTTTAGTTTCTCTGCATTGAGGGCAACAAATACTATCTAGATTTTTTCTAGGTGTCTTACCTATCCTCATACCTCCCTCGGGTGCTCTCGCTTTTATCATGTGATCAAAGTCCAGTCCCCTTGTTGTGTTTGCCCTTGATCTAATGTCCACATATGAGGGAGAACATACGATTTTTGGTCTTTTGGGCCAGGCTAACCTCACTCAGAATGATGTTCTCCAATTCCATCCATTTACCGGTGAATGATAACATTTCGTTCTTCTTCATGGCTGCATAAAACTTCCATTGTGTATAGATACCACATTTTCTTAATCCATTCAGTGTGGGGCATCTTGGCTGTTTCCATAACTTGGCTATTGTGAATAGTGCTGCAATAAACATGGGTGTGCAGGTGCCTCTGGAGTAACCTGTGTCACAGTCTTTTGGGTATATCCCAAAGTGGTATTGCTGGATCAATGGTAGATCAATGTTTAGCTTTTTAATAGCCTCCAAATTTTTTTCCAGAGTGGTTGTACTAGTTTACATTCCCACCAGCAGTGTAAGAGGGTTCCTTTTTCCCCCACATCCTTGCCAACACCTGTTGGTGGTGGTGTTGCTAATGATGGCTATTCAAACACTAAGAGGTGGAATCTCAGTGTGGTTTTAATTTGCATTTCCTTTATTGCTAGAGATGGTGAGCATTTTTCATGTGTTTTTTGGCCATTTGAATTTCTTCTTTTAAGAAAGTTCTGTTTATTCACTTGCCCATTTTTATACTGGTTCATTAGTTTTGGGAGAATTTAGTTTTTTAAGTTCTCTATATATTCTGATTATCAGTCCTTTGTCTGATGCATAACTGGCAAATATTTTCTCCCAATCTGTGGCTGTTCTCTTCAATTTAGAGACCATTTCTTTTGTTGAGCAGAAGCTTTTTAGTTTTATGAGGTCCCATTTATCTATGCTATCTCTTAGTTGCTGTGCTGCTGGGGTTCCATTGAGAAAGTTCTTACCTACCAATTCCAAAGTATTTCCTACTCTTTCCTGCATCAACTTTAGAGTTTGTGGTCTGATATTAAGATCCTTGATCCATTTTGAGTTAATATTGCTACAGGGTAATATACATGGATCTAGTTTCAGTTTTTTGCAGACTGCTGACCGGTTTTCCCAGCAGTTTTTGTTGAAGAGGCTGCTATTTCTCCATCATATATTTTTAGCGCCTTCGTCAAAGACAAGTTGGTATAGTTGTGGACTTCGTATCTGGGTCCTGTATTCTTTTCCACTCATCTTCATGTCTGTTTTTGTGCCAGTACCATGCTGTTTTTATTGTTATTGCTTTGTAATATAGTTTGAAGTCGGGTATCATAATACCTCCAGCTTGTTCTTTTCACTGAGTATTGCCTTGGCATTCATGGCCTCTTGTGTTTCCATATAAATTTAACGGTAGATTTTTCAATCTCTTTAATGAATGTCATTGGAATTTTGATGGGAATTGCATTAAAC